GTACGGGCCCCGGCACATACGACAGGTGCCACATCTCAAGCCACACCCTCAGCTTGGCAGGACAACCCAGCGAGTCAGCCTAGACCTCAGATAGATCCTGCACAGGTTCCAAGCATCTCTATCAACCTCCCAGCTGAGATGTGTGCTTGCCCATCACAGGCTGCCCAGCCTCATCCTTGTCTTTCACCGCGGCCTGTTCGCACTCGTTCTCGGCCTGGGCACCTAAAGGACTTTGTGTCAACATTTCATGTTTGAAAACCTGTAGGAGGGGGGGAAATGTTGTGTTCTCTGAAGTGGGGTTTATAAATGCATTGAGTTAATGTTCAGTGATGCATAGAGTTTGATTGGGCTGAATCATTTGGTTCTGTCTGAGGAATGGATGTGTTCATCTACTTGGGTCTAGACAGACAGTGTTATGTAAGTAAAGCTGACGATAAGTTGATACTACTCTCTGTGTCAGTGTGGTCATTATCAAACGCAACAAGGGCTCTGAGCTCAGAATTCGGCCCGACCCCAGACAACTCCCCAAAATGCCAGATAAACAAAGGACAGCGAGCGTAGAATTTTAACCCCCCCAAAAGTGAAGGGTGCAACAAATGCAACATTTAATAATATACATAAAATGTTTTTAAGGGGGCCGGAAGGCCAATTTAGCTCAAAAGGAATGATTCATTGATTTACAATGAATCTTAACCGAATCACTATGGAACCGAGCAAATGAATCGTATAGAGTTCATTTGAATGGGCTGTAATTATAACCTTTGCAAGGATATAAATACCCAATCTATAGTGAAACACTATGTCTTAGCAAGGTAACTTTAGATCGAACAGTACAAGACATTAAATGTGCAAACACAGCACAAGGCAATTATCTTTTCAAATATATGGACAAGACTTAGCTATTCTAACACATTAAACTGATGTCTAACACGGTCTCACACACACACACACACACTCACACACAGAGAGGAACTATGCTCATCAGTTGATTAGTCAACCAACCTCACTGTGAAAGCCCTTCACAATTAATATTGAAACATTGTTTGCTATATTTGTTTGTTTTTAGTTGTCTATGGACCTAATAATTAGTAATACTGTTGAAATTTAATTGAAGAAAAAAAAACCCACGTCTTTAATAATAATATTATATTATTAATAATATAATAATATTAATAATATTATTTAAAAAATGGCTCTTTGGTCAAAAAAGGTTTCGACCCCTGAGCTAAGCAGTCGTATAATTCCATTTCCTCTCAGATATCACTCAATGAAACCAGGTTACAACTGGGGAAATAACAAATACAATAGGATTAAGTAGTCTAAACATAACTGGTGTGAGGATGTGATAAATATTTCTGATTTTATATTTGTTATAAGCTACTTATTAGCTACATGGCCCTACAGTGTAATACAAGGATACCCAGAGGTTTATATTGACTTTTGCAGGCAATAGTTAAAGAAAGTAGCTGGAGCCTAACCACCATGAAAAGGAAGGCTAAAAGTGGGGATATTGCCTGCTTTTTTTTTGCTTAAAAAAAAAAAAAAAATATATATATATATATATATATAAATAATAATAATTCCAAAGTAGTACAATGGAGGAAGAGTGTGAGGGAAATGGAGGACAAATGCAGTAAACTGGAGAGACCAGGAGGGTCATTTGTGGACTGTAATTATATGTTTTTAATTATAATAAGAACTTGAGTATTGTCCACTGCTGTCACGGTGTGGTGCAGGCAGAAGAACAGGCTGAGTCCAGATTCAAACTAAAATAGCTTTTACTCATAAAATAACAGGCACGGATACAAGCAGACGCGCGCGAACACAGGGTAACATCAACAACGACCGACCAAGACTGACTGAATGAGGGAGAACTAAATACAAGCAGGAATCAAACATAATGAGGTGAAAACAGGTGATGCAGATGAACAAGACGATGAACAGGAGGCTGATGAGGGAGTGAGTTCAGGTGTGGAGACAAGAGGATCCTGGGAAGTGAAGTGCACATGACACAGACAGAAAGGTGCAGACGGAGACATCTTGGACACAATTATTGTACTTTTTAAAATAAATGTTCATTTAGCTTTTTATACTTTTACTTTTTAAAACATGCACGTTTTGTTTTGTTTGAACACTGCACTGGGCTTATTCCTGTTGTGAATTAAAAACCATTGTAGTGTGTAAGGGCATGATTAAATAATAACTACTGTAGTTTAAAAGTGTTTTTATGTTTGTTTTGTTAAAGCAATTCACATATAGGGATTGCCATGTACCGTCTACCCCTGCCACCCCGCCAAGACCTCTTGCCACCCATTTGCCCCCCCATGTAAAATTTACTAGATCCGCCACTGCTGTGGAGAGAAATGGAGGAGAATGAGGACAGAAGAGAACGGGAGAGACGAGAGAGAGAGATTAAAGACAAAAAAGAGAAGTAAGAGAAGAGAGATGGCACCGGGAAGCAATCGAGAGAGAGGAAAGGAGAGAAAGAGAAAAAAAGGGGATGAAAGCCAGGTTCCTTTCTGTTCTTCAGATTCTTGCAAAAAAAATGAATTATTTGACAAAAAAACATCTTCTGATCTTTTACACATTTGGGTTTGTGTGAATTAAATTTGTAAATAAAAATGTGAATATTTTCCAAAGCTTTCCTACTCTTTTGCTACACACTCAAAAGTATGTACATTTTCTTCACAAAAAGAGTATATACTTTTAGGGCGTATAAGTATGTGAATTGGGACGCAGCATTAGATTAAATCAAGTGAAAATACATGAAATCACTGTAAAACCAGTTGGACCTTATTTATGTCATTCATCTACAGATGTTCTTTTCGAGAATGAACACATTTTTAGATGTTGAAGTTTTGGTGAAAATAGTTTGTCACAATTATGGTGATCAGTGTGTCCTCCAGTTGGGTGGTTTGACAATTTATGTATTTTTATATATTAGTTGTTGTCTTTGTAACAGTGTTTACCAATACATTTTGTTGCAAAGGAAACCAGAATTAAAGATGATCAGGTGATGTAATTTTCATCACTGTATTTTAAAATGTTTGACAAATGTCATCACTGTCTAAAAGAGATTAATTAGTTATTAAAATATTTATACCATCAATACTTTTTTGCCAAATATTTAACATTCTGGATATAAATATCTAAATACATTGTGAGAAAAAAAACTGTAGACACACATACTCTAACATCAAGACTGAATTACTATCTGCTGCAATGCATGCTGGGAGCCATTAGTTTTATAATATGGTGGTTCCCAGCATGCATTTCTGTATGAACATTGTCACCATTGTTGAGATTCATATGCTAATTTTTGATGTCCGCATGTGTCTTAAATAATTTGCCGTACATTGTAAATAATGATATTAATAATAATTCAGAAAGTCTTTTTTGTTGCAGGAAATCATCATTGGTGAAAAGTACTTCTTTAAGTACTAAGACCTCAAGAGAAGAGCTCAAAACTTCAATGAGGGGGACTTAGTTTGGCTGCGGAGACTGCGGACACATCCTCTTTCTAGTGCAGATGGTGCTTTCATGCCTAAGATCTCACCTAAATGGAAAGGTCCAGCCAAGATTATGGAAAAGCTAGGACCTGTAAACTACAAGGTAACCATGTTGACTGATCCTGTTCAGGTAGACACTTATCATACCCAGAATTTAAAAAAAATTCCAATGGTCAAATTTTTAGACATTGGGGAGGGGTATGTAATGGTTTAAATGTTACCTGGGTTTTTAGTCTGTACTTTTTATCTATTATCTGGAAAGTTACCTGGGTCAAGTGTAGTACCACTAATTGCCATTTGAGGCCACTAGTGCATGGTGGCTACAAGATATAAGCCTGGTAACCATTGAAGAAGTCAGTTCAGTTTGGTAGAGGGAAACCGCATGGTTCTTTTGTTGTTCTGCATAGTTTGGATGATCTGTTTCACGTCTACTGGAATAGAGACAGGAATCTGGATATCAGTACGCTGTAGCAAGGCACCAACTTTACTATCTTCACCTCATACTCATACTGGATTATTGGATAATATCATTGCGTCTATCTCAAATATCCACTGGATCATACTCATCCATTTAACATCTGGACACTGACCAGTGGCGGTTCTACTTTGAATTACACCCAGGGCGAGACCCCCTTCGAGCACCGCTGCAAAAAAAAAATAAAAAAAAACTTTGCATATTATAGGCTACTGTAAAAACTCATAATTAAAGTTGATTTTAGTTGATCATTATGAAAAGTATTAGATAATATGGTGACCAAAATGATCACATACACAGAATCTTGTTCAAAAAGCCTAATACACAGTGAAATCAATTCACCAAGTTAATAACATTAAAGATTTGTTTTAAAGGAGTGTCTTTCATCTTACATACTAAACTTAAAAAAGGTTTACACAAAAAAAAGTTTTATATAAAGATAAACCTCATATTTCAGCATTTAAATCATCTATATAAAAAGAATGAGTCAATAAAGATACATTCCTGACATTTATAATGCACAGTAGCTTATCTTTTATTATTAATAGTAAAATTCGTACCGATTTCCCCATGGCTGTCGTTGCTATAGAACCATGCACTCATTACACTGCGCTCTCCACAACGACAAAGGAGTTTTAGTAGCTAATGTATTTCCACCACAGAAAAACGCTTGCTGTAGCTCTGCTAAAAGATTTATTTACGGAGAAGAGAAAAAACACCCAAGTGTTTGGGTGCACGTGCACTCCCATACTGAAAAGTTTATGAGCACGCTTCCTGTGAGCGCATAATGAGCGCGCTTCCCGTGCGCCTATTTGAAACATAGAGGATGTGAAATAACGACCTCGAGTGCACAAAAGCCGCGATACGTGAACTAATCAGGAGATCCCCTTGACATCGCTTCTGCGCACGCGGCACAGAGTATTGTTTTTAACTGTGACATGAAGAAATGCCGCCCCGGGCGACTGCCCGGTTCGCCCGTGCCTAGAACTGCTACTGACACTGACGATAAGTTGTTTATATTATGGTCTCATTTACATAGAGACAAAGACTGTTGTTTTTTTTATATTGTTTATTGTTGGGGGCAATTATAGGCACGCGTGAAATAAAATAGAAAAAAATTATATTTGTATAGTGAAGTGGTTTTATTTCAGTACCAGTCGAAATTCTGTTGAACCTCCTCAGAGTAACACCGAAAAAGAAAGGGAGGTGTTACAATAGTATCATTTAATTTTTCTCAACATTTCAATTTTCTAAATCCAAAATGATATAATTAGAGCATCGATCTCATTACATTATTTAGGCATTTGTACTTGCAGTGTATATTTGCAAGAGGGATCTTCTTTTTTTCACTTGAGATCCTGTCTGAATCTTTGTTTTTTCCCATGAGTTATTGTGTATTTAACTCAATATAAACTTTATATACAATATAAACTTTATATATATATATATATATAACTTTTTATATTACAATGTATTGTGTGATCTCAAGTACAAGACATCACTATGGAATCCAAAGCTTCCCAAGCACAGACAGAAAGAAAATAATAGTGATTATGTAAAGAACGAAGAAGGTCACATCTATGGTTCTTGCCACTCTGGTCCAGTACAGACATGTCTTCTGTTGTGGTTTTCGTTGAGTTGCAGCATTACACATACTGATGATCTGAGGATCTGTAGCTGTAGCTCCAGGGTTCTGCGGGTCTCTTACACCACCTGTGAGAGAAAAAAAGCCAAGCAAGTCACTGGATGCTATTTTGTGTCGTTTAAACAAGCTCACGTGTGGCTTTAGAGGGTTTTGTTTCATACACAATTACATGTTTTTACATGTGCTAATTTGAGACTTCAAATGCTTTTTTCAGCCATCAAAACGCAAAACGTACTATTTTACGGTCACAGGTTTTTTTTTTCATGGAGTCTAATTTACTCAAAGATTGATTTTATTGTTATTATTATTAATTACATATTTCTTTGCATATGTACCAAAGTAACAAAGACAAACAAATCGTATGATTAATTTAACCAATAAACCTCAACTTGTGAAGCAAAAGTATAAAATACAGAAAAATGTTCTTCATAATCAGATGCTGTGGCGACTCTTACCATCTTGGCCACTAACAGTAGATGTTGTTTCCACTGATCCCCTATTAGCTGTTTCAGCCTTCAGATAATTCACAAAGATGGTCTCCAAAAGGCTTATGCCAATCAGACAGAAAACCGCACAGCAGTAAACTCCTGTGAAAAACAGCACAGTATGACCATTGTAGAGATCCATACACTGATTCTTGATGTCTGTGTGTGTCAAAAATACTCTAGAAATAATCCTTGTTTAAGCCTAAAAAGTGAAGCAATTCTTCATATTGTTTTTATTATCACAACACTGCTGGATCTCATGCTGTAGAATCATATAGAAACTATTATGTGTTTTATTTAAAGGGCACCTATTATGGAATTTAGAAGATTACCATTCATGTAGTGTGTAACATAGATCTATGTGAACGAAAACATCCTGCAAAGTTTTAAATATGAAAGTTCACCGTATAAAAAGTTATTGTTTCTCAAAAGTAAGAGTCGACTCTGAGTTGCTGATTGTTGTTCTGGACATACTGTACTAGCGCCCAGCAACCCAAATCTGTGACCTGGAAGGTCATGATGTGCCTCTGATGTCAGATGCTTAATTGATGGAGATATGCTTCCGTCTATCTGTATTTGTGTGGAAAATTACTGTGTTTATCTATTTCTTAGCCAATGAGAATCATTCAACGTGTAAGCAATGACGTAGCTTAGACCTTGGGAACAGTATAACTGCTGTGATCTTTGTAACTGTTCAGGGCGGCCTATGAACTCCTGTGTGAGTCTTGAAGCTGAGTTCTGCTGATGAAACTGCAAACTATGTTCAGTAAACTTTTTTTTTATATTGGGAAAATAATTTTTGGACAAACACACAGACATTAAGAATCCACATAAGAATCTCAGCAATGGTGAAATGCTTGATACTGCAATGCATTCTGGGAGGCACCATAGTTTAAAACTCTTGACTCCCAGCATGCATTGTAGCTTGAAGAATGTCACCATTGTTGAGATTCATATGCTGATTCATGATGTCTGTTTGTTTCTAAAAAAAAGTGTAATGATTTTCAAAAACTGTCTGCAGTATAAAAATTCAGAATGTCTCGTCTGTGTCAAGAAAGGTGAAAGTAAATTATTAAAAACAAATTACAACTTGGTCAGGGATAAGATTATAGAACAATTATATTTTTTTTGTTTTTTGAAAACTTCTATATCAGCTTGATGTCCAATATGTATAAACAAAAATGAATGTTGTAAAAAAATATTCATAACATATTACAACTTTAGTCATTTTTTTGTACTTTATTATGCTGTAAACTATCGGCCTACATGAGGGTGATAGGGCTGGGCGATATATCACATGACATTGTTATGCGCATCTCTTCAGTAAAGCCGGTTCCTTGATTAGTAGTAAATCACCTTCATCTGCTTTCAGATGGAAGATATGATGCAGATATGAGTGTTAAATTAACATTCAAGAGTGTTAAAGTTAATGAGATGATTAAGTGATTAATTTAGTATTGATTGAGCATTATTAATACACCTGATGTTAACAAGCAGAATCACTGAAGGAGAAAATCACAAATTGTAAGTCACCGCTATGGTGATCAGTGTTTGCTTTAGTTGGACTCTTGACCCTTATGTAATTAACTTTAAATTTTGTTTGTTTGCTGTTATTGATTTATAACAGTCAAATGAACAAATAAAAGTGTGATCTGACAGTGTTGATTATGTTGTGGCATAATCATGCTGTGATCTGAAAGTGAAACTTATTGAGATTGCTTAGTTTAAATCATTAGCAATAGCTTTGTGGTTCTACAGTATATGATTATCATTATTATTCTTATAATAATTAAATCTTAATAAACATTTTTCTGATCAGAACACTTTCAAATGAATTTATGTACAAACACGGACTTTAATAATCAGCCTGTGAATCTCAACAATGGTGACAATAATAACCCATGTTGCAGTGGCTGCCACCAATCACAACTCATTAATGGCTCCCATCATGCATTGCGGTATGAATAAATTATGATCTGAATTGTCTATGTAATTTACTTTTATAATTTAATATTCTGCTTGTCACCATTGTTAAGATGTATTGACTGAATCTGTATGAGAAAAATGTCTGTGTGTGCCTAAAAGAAAGATTATTTTTAAAACAACTTATAAGAAATCCTTTATATTATAGCTAAAACTCTGGATATTTATGCAGAATCACAGTTATGCTGTAACCAACAGAATAAATCACAAACATAAAAATTCAAATGATGATTGTTATAATGTAACCAACACCATTAGATCACTTTTTTTTGTTGTTCATCTGGCAGTTATAACTCACATACTGCAGCCAAACAAAATCTAAAGTTAATAATTTAATGGTCAAGAGCCAACTAAAGCAAACACTGATCACCATAACAGTGACTTCATCAGGTGTCTTCAATAATGCTCAATCATCACTAAATTAATCACTTATCTCATTAACTTTAACACTCTTGAATGTTAATTTAACACTCATATCTGTATCATCCCTTCCATCTGAAAGCAAGTGAAGATGATTTACTACTAATCAAGGAACCGGCTTTACTGAAGAGACACGCATAACATTTGATTTTTTTTTTTTAAGGAAAATACAAATTACATGTTTTTGAAATACGTATTTAATTACTTTTGAGTATTTTGTAATTAAAATACTGCCCATTTCTGCACCCAGGTCCCATGACAGCGTTCACATTAACGATTTTTCATGCGAACCGTGCCCCGTCCGAACTAAACTGCCAGTGTGTAAGCACCCTAAAAGTCAGTTGTAGTTCTTTTGTTTTTCTTTCCTTCAGTGATTCTGCTTGTTAACAGCAGTTGTTCACCACTAATACTCAATAATCACCCAATTAGTCACTTAATTATCTCATTAACTTCAACACTGCTTCAGTGTTACTTTAACACACACTAGAGTTGGACCTTATACACTCTGAGCAGTGTTGATTTAACACTGGGGATTTTGCTGTGTATTTGAAACTGTTCTGCCTTAAATTATCAACTATATTTCATTTAAAGAGAATACTCTAGGTTTAATGCATATTGTTTGATTGTTGTGACTTAATTTCAACTTCAACTAAAAAATGTAAGTCATATTAAATGATCAGGTTTGACTCACCAATCAGAGGGATTCTGTCAGCCGTAGAGGGCAGTGTGTTACTAAGAATCAGCAGCATCACAGAAATAGACAGCAGTAAAGTCACTTTAAAGCCCAACTTGTCATATCCATTTTTGACAATAAAGAAGGAGGCCACATCCAGAATGAGGAAGAAAAATACCGGTACTATAATGTTTATGACATACAGTAGAGGTCTCCTTTTTATGTCAATCTGTCAGAGAGAGAGAGAGAGAGAGAGAGAGAGAGAGAGAGATAGAGAGAGAGAGAATGTACTTTAACACTGGGAACACTAAATATTCTTCATAAATCAACACGTATTAAAAAGAGACATAAGCAAGAAAACTTATGAAAAAATCTATTCAAGTAAAAGTACTTAAGTACAAGTCAAACTAGGTAACACAACTGCACGCTATTAATCATTAGTTAAGCATGAGTAAACCGATAATTCATCATTTATAAAGAATTAATAGACAGAATTAATAAGCAGTTAACAAATACAGCTATAAATGCTTTTTTCTTGATTTATAAGCATTGATTGATTGATTTATTGATTTATATGATAAATATGAAGTTGCAAAGGAAAGAACGTCTCAGATCAGGAGGTGAGGTGAACTAACAGAATCAGACTGCAATATCCTGAGCTTAAGACCCAACAACTGATCAAGTAATACAGTGATTTCAGTTGCTAATAATTTGGCTTTGGCTGCATTACCCTATAGTTATTGATATTATTTTTACAAAGGCTTTCGTAAGTACTAGATATTTTGGGAAATTTAACATGCCATTTTAATTATATAATGCTGAAAGGAATGAAATGATTCAAAAATAGTTTTGTTCATTTAGTTGAATGAGAATGAAATATCCGAGTCAATAAAATGTTCCGAAATTCCCACTACTACTTTCAAATGAATTTATTTAGATTCACAGAAATCAATAATCAGCCGGTGAATCTTAACAATGGTGACAATAATAATCATCGTTGCCACCAATCACAACTCATTAATGGGTCCCATTATGCATTGCGGTATGAATAAATTATGATCTGAATTGTCAACCTAGTTGAATATTCTTCTCGTCACCATTGTTCAGATGCATTGACTGAATGTTGATGTCTGGGTGTACCTAAAATATGTATTTTTTTTTAAACAACTTTTAAGAAATCCATTATATTACATCTAAAACTCTGGGTATTTATGCAGAATCACAGTTATGCTGTAACCAACAGCATAAATCACAAATATAAATTTCAAATGATGATCGTCATTAAATAACCAACACTGTTAGATAACTTTTTTCTTTGTTCATCTGGCAGGTATAACTCACATATAACAGCCAAACAAAATCTAAAGTTAATATTATAAGGGTCAAGTGCCCAACTAAAGCAAACACTCATCACCATAACAGTGGCTTACAATTTTTGATTTTCTTCTTCAGTGATTCTGCTTTAGGTGTCTTCAATAATGCTCAATCATAACTCAATTAATCACTTAATTATCTCATTTAACAGTTTTTGCTGTGTACAAAGAGCCGTAGTTAACTTTCAAGCTGAGCCATATTGCATTAATTATCGCTGGCGATACGTCCACGATATTAATGCGATATGACTCAGCTTTTCAGTGAACTACGGCTATTTGTAGTAAATGCCGCTCCATCTGAAAGCAGGTAAAGGTGATTTACTACTAATCAAGGAACCGGTTTTACTGACGAGATGCGCATAGCAATGTGATGCGATATATCGCCCAGCCCTATTGACAGGTGTTATCTAACAAAATGTAATATTATCTGGAATTCTAAATAGTTCTTAATTTGATTTCATTAAACAAGTATAGAACATTTGAAATTAACACTAATTTAACTAATTTAAATATTTGAATGGCTGAATTTATATGTACATGTATTTTCAAAAGTATTTTTTGTTGATTTTCACAGGTCATTCCCTGGGTCTCAGAAAAGTCGAACATAATATTTTGGCTGCACTGCAGTCATTTTCTGGCTCAAGAGAATCCGTGTGTCATTTAATATTGAAAGTATAAAAATAAGAAAACAGCTTGAATGTTAGATTTCAAAAATTCTTAGAATTTAAAAGTTGACTGAACATTTAATTGTAAAAAAAAAAATAAATCCCATAAACTATACAGTACTATAATATAATGCCACACTTAATGCCAAAAAAAAACAAAAAAAAAAAAAAAACACATCAAAAATTTAATTGTATTACTTTGGAAAATGGCAATAAATAAATTGGTTAAAATGAAAACGTACAAATTATATTTATTAACTAGCTGTTCTTTTGTATTATTATTATTATTGTGTGTGTTTGTGTGTATTCTTTAATTATTTAAATATTTAATATTTTCTTGGACTCCATACTCTGTTATGTTATGTTATGTACTGTTATGTACCTGATATATCAGCTGATCCATTTCAATCCACTCAGTGTAGGTAGAGCTAGAGTAAGTTATATTGATGAGGTCCCACTCTCCCTGGGCCAGAAAAAGCTCCTGTGATGTAACGGTGATGAAATCTTTTTCAGAGAGTGGGTTAATTGTAATGTCCTGCGCTGTGGGAACAAACATTAAAATTGTGTTTCATATTACAGTCAAATAGTTTAGAAGAATAAACGATGTTATCTTGTGTTTGTTTGTTAAAACTGATTAATGTGTTTCAGACATACTTGAATATGATGTAGACTGAAATGTTATTTTGCAGCTTTGGGAGTCGAAGGGAAACATGTGTAGATCCATCTTACAGGCCGTGGTCAGAGATAAAATGTCAACTGAGAATGTAAAGCCGATATCGAACAACACCACATTTGGAAAATCCTTTGTTCCAAAATCTGTCTTGAGGCTAAATGGATAAAAAATAAATGAACACTGATTAATAAAGACATGATGATTAAAGACAGCAGGTATTCAAATCAAAAGTAACTTGCACACTACTGATTAATCAGCCAAACCATTAATCAAACCAAGACCCTTTTCTCATTTTGAAGGCTGCACTGGAGGCTGCATTTGTCGGCCACATATGTCACAGAAGCTTCAAATATGTCATTTATTAAAAAAAAAATGGTGACAGCTGCGCTTTCAATAGAAAGTCATGTTTATTTTAAAGCTCTGTTTCCTCAGTAGAGTGTAAGGAAGATAACAAGTGTTTGTCATTTTTAACTGTTTAAAGAACAGGACTGTGTTTTTTCATCATTGGATTGAAGATTACAGGTTACTCACAAAACTGTATTTTCTGGAAGCTTTTTTCAATGTTTACAAAGAAATAAACAAAAAGGACATGTCAGAGTACATATGGTCCCCCTCTAAATAGTGTTAAAGTAACTCTGAATCATTGTTAAAGTTAATGAAATAATTATTAAATACATTAATTATGAAAATAATTTATGAGAAAGTGATTAATTATTTAAGATTGTGCATTAGTGATGAACACGGTCCATGTACTTTTTCGTTCATTCATTATTCTATATCGGAAAGATGAAATTTAAAAAAAGGGTGCAGCTTGAGTTTTTGTTTAAAAGAAAGAAAAAAAAAACAACAGAAATGATTTTGTTTCCCAAATGTATTGTTGTCATCAAATAATAGTATTAGAAAATTGGACGATATTCCGATCGTTTTTTTAATTTGTAATATTTATTTGTACGTTTATTATATTTGTATTGTATTGGATTGTGTTTTTTTTTTATTTGTATTGGTACATCCGTGCCGCGAAGATGGTTTAAAAAGTGGTGGGGAGAAAATCGAACATGGCAAAAAAGTGGTGACGTGAACGCCCCGTCATCAGTGCTCGGCTGGCGCCGGCTCTGAGTCAAATGAAATACAATAAACGTACAAATTACAAATTAAAAAAACGATTGGAAATGTCGTCCAATTTTCCAATACTATTATTTGAGGACAACAACACATTTGGGAAACAAAATACAGCCATTTCTGTTTTTTTCTTTCTTTTAAAAAAACAAAAAAAAAACAAGTTGCACCCTTTTTTAAATTGGATCTTTCATTCTGAAATAGAATAATGACGAACACATAGTAACTCTAACATCGTAATAAGCAGAATCACTGAAGGAATTAGAAACACGAGAACTACAACTGACTTCAACCACAGCCTAAGGGGCTGTTTACGTAACACCGGTTGCAAGTAAAAACGTTTCTATAAGGTTGAATGAAAACTAAGATAAACGTTTTAACTGTAACATTTTGAGGATGTTTTGGGAAAGTTGTTGAGATAAAAGATTATACAATGTTACATAATAACAAAGAAGGAATATCAAATCAAAGTTCGCAAAATGTTTTGAGGTGATCATTGAGGTCTGAGATGACGGAATGCATTTTATAAAACGTTCTTGTAATGTGGCGTGTTAAAGCAAGAATATTATCCTACACAGCAAAAACTCCAGTGTTAAATTTATTCTCTTGGGAGTTTATTTGACTCCACACTCAAAAAGAAGTGTTCAAATATGAGTGTTAAATAAACACTGTAGAGTGTTAAAATTATATAATTAGATTAATTAGATAATTATGTTATTAATTGTGTGATGATTGAGCATTATTGAAGACACCTGATGTTAACAAGCAGAATCACTAATGGAGAAAATCTAATTTTAAGTCATTATGATGATCAGTGTTTGCTTTAGTTGGGCTCTTGACCCTTAAATTATTAACTTTAGATTTTGTTTGGCTGTTATAATTGAGTTGTATCTGAGAGAATGGTGTTCAGGTGGTGATGGTTATGTTTAGCTGTAATCATTATATGACTTGAATCACTAAACATCATTCACATTTAACAAATACTTTTAACCAAAGTGACCTACAACAGAGGACTACAATTTAGATAATTAGGATTGCCTTGTTGATTAAAGCAGCCTGGTGATTCTACTGCATACAATTTGTAGCATCTCTAGAATCCTAAATATTATTAATATTTCTGTTCCAAAGAGTTTGATTTCACACAGACGTCAGACATCAAGATTTAGCCTGTGAATCTTAACAATGGTGACAATAATAAACCATGTTGCAGTGCATTCTGGGTACCACCAATCAAAACTCATTCATGGCTCCCAACATGCATTGCAGTATGAATAAATTATGCTCTGAACTGTCCTTTTCCAAATTAAATATTTCATTTGCCACCATTGTTGAGATTCATGAACTCATGCTTGAGTTCATCCTGTTTGTACCTTCACATTTTTAGGGCCCGAGCACTAACAGTGCGAGGACCCTATTGAAACTGTTAGGATTATTTTTTTTTTCTTTTTAGGGCCCGAGCACTAACAGTGCGAGGACCCTATTGAAACTGTTAGGGTTATTTTTTTCTTTTCTTTCTTTTTTCTGCAAAGTAAGCGCCATTTTCGGGGCCGCAACATGCTCAAAAACTCACCAAATTTGGCACGCATGTCAGGACTGGTGAAAAATTTCTAATTTTGTGGGTTTCACGGATGGGCGTGGCAAAACGGCACGCTAGCGCCACCTAGAAAATTGGAAAAAATTAGCCCCTCGTCCATGTTCAACCTATATGCACGAAATTTGGTGGGGACGTGTATCATATCAAGATGCAAAAAAAAGCCTCAAGAACCCATACCCTAAACTCGACAGGAAGTCCGCCATTTTGAATTTGGCGGCCATTTTTGGACGATTTACACACTCCGTACTTTAACGAACTCCTCCTAGGGATTTAGTCGGATCGCCTTCAAATTTCTGCTGTACCTTCTAAAGGCATTGACGATGTAAAGTTGTGCTATCTGCGCGTTTTCGTCGATGGGCGTGTCCGTGGCGTCGAAGATTCGCCATGAAACAGGAAGTTGTAGTAACTTGGCTGTAAATGCCCAGATCTGGACGAAATTTTACACATTTGACAAGAGTCCCGTCCTGAACAAATCTACATGCCGACATTCACCCACAGTCATAGCGCCACCTGCTGGCAACAGGAAGTGAAATTTAACGAAGCAGCTCCCGCCGCTTGTTTGACCGATATGTACGAAATTTCTGTGGTACATCTACCATGACCAGACGCACAAAAAAGCTTCAAGAAGCCATACCCCAAACTCGACAAGAAGTCCGCCATTTTGAATTTGGCGACCGATTTGGGACGATTTACACACTCTGTACTTTAACAAACTCCTCCTAGGGATTTAGTGGGATCAACTTCAAATTTCTGCTGTACCTTCTAAAGGCATTGACGATGTAAAGTTGTGCTATCTGCGCGTTTTCGTCGATGGGTGTGACCGTGGCGTCGATGATTCGCCATGAAACAGGAAGTTGTAGTAACTTGGCTGTAAATGCTCAGATCTGCACGAAATTTTATACATTTGACAAGAGTCCCGCCCTGAACAAATCTACATGCCGATATTCACCCACAGTCATAGCGCCATCTGCTGGCAACAGGAAGTGACCTTTAATGAAGCAGCCCCCGCCGCTTGTTTGACCGACATGTACGAAATTTCTGTGGTGCATCTACCATGACCAGACGCACAAAAAAGCCTCAAGAACCCATACCCTAAACTCGACAGGAAGTCCGCCATTTTGAATTTGGCCACCCATTTGGGAAGATTTACACACTCCGTACTTTAACGAACTCCTCCTAGGGATTTAGTCGGATCAACTTCAAATTTCTGCTGTACCTTCTAAAGGCATTGACGATGTAAAGTTGTGCTATCTGCGCGTTTTCGTCGATGGGTGTGTCCGTGGCGTCGATGATTCGCCATGAAACAGGAAGTTGTAGTAACTTGGCTGTAAATGCCCAGATCCGCACGAAATTTAACACGTTTGACAAGAGTCCCGCCCTGAACAAATCTACATGCCGACATTCACCCACAGTCATAGCGCCACCTCCTGGCAACAGGAAGTGACCTTTAACGAAGCAACGTAGCAAATGCACATCCGCACTGGCTGAGCTGCAGAAAATGCAACACGGCTGCCTCAGACCCCGACGTGCTACAGGTGCGAGGGCCCGCCCATCGCTGCTTGCAGCTTTAATTTCTTTTTTCTTTTTTCTTTTTTCTGCAAAGTAAGCGCCATTTTCGGGGCCGCAACATGCTCAAAAACTCACCAAATTTGGCACGCATGTCAGGACTGGTGAAAAATTTCGGATTTTGGGGGTTTCGCGGATGGGCGTGGCAAAATGGCTCCTTAGCGCCACCTAGAAAATTGCAAAAAATTAGCCCCTCATCCACGTTCAACCTACATGCACGAAATTTGGTGGGGATGTGTATCATTTCAAGACGCACAAAAAAGCCTCAAGAACTCATAACCTAAACTCGACAGGAAGTCCGCCATTTTGAATTTGGCGACCGATTTGGGACGATTAACACACTCCGTACTTTAACGAACTCCTCCTAGGGATTTAGTCGGATCGGCTTCAAATTTCTGCTGTGCCTTCTAAAGGCATTGATGATGTAAAGTTGTGCTATATGCGCGTTTTCGACGATGGGCGTGTCCGTGGCGTCAATGATTCGCCATGAAACAGGAAGTTGTAGTAACTTGGCTTTAAATGCCCAGATCTGCACGAAATTTTACACATTTGACAAGAGTCCCGCCCTGAACAAATCTACATGCCGACATTCACCCACAGTCATAGCGCCACCTGCTGGCAACAGGAAGTGAACTTTAACGAAGCAGCCCCCGCCGCTTGTTTGACCGATATGTACGAAATTTCTGTGGTACATCTACCATGACCAGACGCACAAAAAAGCCTCAAGAACCCATACCCTAAACTCGACAGGAAGTCCGCCATTTTGAATTTGGCGACCGATTTGGGACGATTTACACACTCTGTACTTTAACGAACTCCTCCTAGGGATTTAGTCAGATCAACTTCAAATTTCTGCTGTACCTTCTAAAGGCATTGACGATGTAAAGTTGTGCTATCTGCGCGTTTTCGTCGATGGGTGTGTCCGTGGCGTCCATGATTCGCCATGAAAGAGGAAGCAGTAGTAACTTGGCTGTAAATGCCCAGATCTGCACGAAATTTAACACGTTTGACAAGAGTCCCGCCCTGAACAAATCTACATGCCAACATTCACCCACAGTCATAGCGCCACCTCCTGGCAACAGGAAGTGACCTTTAACGTAGCAGCATAGCAAATGCACATCCGCACTGGCTGAGCTGCAGAAAATGCAACACGGCCGCCTCAGACCCCGACGTGCTACAGGTGCGAGGGCCCGCCCATTGCTGCTTGCAGCTTTAATTTATTATTATTTTATCAGGACAAGTTTTGAGAATTCCTTTGGAATATGTTGAAAATTCTGGCTCTTAAGCTTTAGAATCTCTGTGTATCTAAAATTCTGGATACTTATGCAGAATTACAGTTATGCTGTAACCAACACCATACATCCCAAATATAAAGTTCAAATGATGATTGTTATAATATAACCAACACCATTACATCACTTTTGTTCTTTGTTCATCTGGCAAGAACAACTTTAGATACATCAGCCAAACACAGCTTTTTTTACAATGAAGGTATTTGACCATAATAATGCAGGAAATACCTTTAAATAAGAGTGTTTTTCTGTTTATTTAATTTATGACGTTTTACTTTAATGTTACAGTTTTTTGAGCTGCCAGTCATGTAATCATTTAACTGTCTTGTTACCATTTAATTACAGATTCTATTTGTAATTTTACATACATTTTTATGTAACTTAAGAAAACAGAAAAATACTGTATGAAAAAATACAATCAATTTCTGTAAAAAATGTGAATGACTGGAATTTGTCTTTAATGTAACAAAACCTAATTTATCAGCTGCATTTTTATTTTGCAGATATTATTTGTAATTTGGCAGTGTTTTGAGTACAATTTAAAATGAAAGAAAATGGTCGTCAAAAAAAAAAACCCTTTATTCCCCAAACTTTACATGTTGTTCCCTTATACTTAGATGTAAGTACTTTATAGGTACACTATAATAACAGAAATTAGACTGTAAATTCCTCTTAATTACACAGTACTTTCCAGGCTGTAATCTAAAGTGTTATCAAAAGCTGTTTAATGTGCAGTATGAAAAAAGTGTTTGGATCTGTTTTGTCATTTCCATTTTGTCATACCATTACCCTTATTCTGTCCATCATTTTGCAACCTCTCTTATTCATCACAAAAAGGCAAAAACAACCAAAATAAAAGGTTCTGACAAAAGTAATTTTTATACCTTTCCACTATACCAATATCCGGAGTCCAAAACATATCTTTGGGGGCTGCAAATTTGTCAATTCCACAAAACTTCTTTTCTTCCCACTCCAAATCCCCAATTGGCCAAGCCTGGATAAGATATAGTTACAGAGAAGTTCAGAGTGATTATAAGACAGATACATGCTTGAAAATCAAATAAAACCTCTGATCATGTGACAAAATTATGTAAATTAAAGGTGCTGTATGTATCTTTTCTTCTAAAATGAATCCTTTTTTATTGCCTGTGTGTGAAGGGGTTGTAATTAGGGCTGGGCGATATATCGCACGATATTGTTATGTAGGGATCGACCGATATGGATTTTTTTAGTGCCGATAACGATTTTTTACCCATCAGCCTTCGCCGATGACCGATACGGGCTGCCGATTTTCTTGAGCCGATATTTAGAGCTGATACATTTTGCTCCCTAAATTTACATCATAAAAATGACATGATGTTAACAAATGTTACAGGTCTCAAATTAATAAAAGTAACATTTATTTAACTTAAAAAAATATTTAAATATTTAAATATTTACTCTCTCTCACGGCTCGCGCTCTCTGCACGTCGGTTAAATGAACAACAACAAACAAATGTCGAGTGCTGATCAAGAGTTTTGTTCAAGCAATTTAAGGTTGCGAGTCGCGACTTTTATCCCAAATATATCAGGCTTCATTCAGTGATTGAAAAAAATACATTACTTGAAGTTTCACAGTATAGAACCGACATTGAGCGCTCCGAGCTGTGCTGTGGTAACGTGTTTTTCCACATTAGTGGAAACTTTCCGAACTTTCTTTTGGCCAACTGCATGCTGTGCTGATACATGAGCACGGGTGAAACGAGGACTTAAATGAGGGGCCGAATTCGGAGAAATGTAAGTTTATTTAATAACAAATAAAATAAAATTGATGAAGACCAGTTTATTCACTTTAGATCTTTAAGACATATAAAACATCCGTGTTTACACATCGTCTGTAGACTACAGGGTTCATTAGCAAAACTTTAATGTAAGAAACTTATCAAAGATTATTATGACAATGAGTACTTTTATTTAACTTTAGACAATGAGGACTATTATTTATTTAAAGTTATGATTACAAATGCCTTTATTTGAATGTATTTTTATCCGCCGGGACGATATGATTGACGTCATTACGTGAGGATGTAAAAGAACTGGTGAAACGTTTTTTTGAACTGGTTCATTGAAATGACCTGTCTGAAAGAACCGGTTCGCGGAAAAGAACTGAACTTCCCATCTCTATTGTACATAATAGAGTTGTGATGTTTGCGAATGAACCGATTCTTTTAAACGGCTCATAAACATGAACGATGGGAGCTGAGTCGTGGCAAGAGGGGAGCCGTTCTTTTTTCCTATGCGTGTTTCACACAGATGCACTATTGTAACGTTGCAGTGAGAGCTAATATGAGTTCCCAGCATGTTGTGTGATGCTTGTGTGATGCATGGTGTGTACCATGTTCGAGAATGCGCAAGAACACAAGCGCCCTTGTAAAAATTGGTTGCAATCTAAAACATCACGATAGAGGTCGCTAAAAAATACATATAGCACTTTTAAGTAAAATTTTAAGAAAAATGAGAACAAAATAGTTTTCCTATAACGCTTACTGTTCGTATCTGGACCTGTGTTGTGAGACTCTGGGCTTTTTCATCCTGTAGATATAAGATGTGTTGAGAGATGATATTGCAACTGCTTGACATCCCATAATGACTTGAATGAGAAGATTAATCATGCTGGACACATACCACTTTTATGATGGAGGTCACATACAGGTCCATGTAAATGTCAGCAGGGTTAGATGAGCCATTATTGCCGAATGTCAAGGGCCACATTCTGGTTTTCTGAGCGTCATTCTTGTCCATGCCGAGATGTTCAAATAGACGCTTTCTAGCTTCAGCATATTCAACATCACTGCAGTTTTGAGCACCCGTCACTTGAGCATCAAACACCCACCCTGTGCAAATGAGACATTCTATAATACAGGAGAATATATTCTCCAAGCATGCACACTTTTTTTTTTTTACTTTTAGAGGGCTTTAATATATATTTAGTCTATTTTATAAATGCCTACTGCAATACATTTAAAATAACTATGTATTTGTATTTTTTATATTTTCAAAAGTATGATATTTTTAAAAACATTTTTTTTTACATTCACAATGTACTAAAGGCTGAGTGCATTGTCCTATTTGCCAAGTTCAAGGGTCTATAGACACATACACACACACAAAAAAAAGAATTAGTCAAAATTTGGTTTTCATTAGGTCAGTACACATTATCTTAATTCAATGCCTTTGGTCTGCTTTAAAGGGTTAGTGCACCCAAAAATTAAAATTCTGTTATCGTTTACTCACCCTCAAGTTGTTGCAAACCTGTATGAGTTTCTTTCTTCTGCTGAACACAAAGGAAGATAATTTTGTTTGCCACCATTGACTTCCATAGTAGAAAAAAATACTATGGAAGTCAATGGTGCCAAATTTCCAATCGTTCTTCAAAATATCTTCCTTTGTTATCAGCAGAAAAAAAGAAACCCATACAGGTTTGCAACTTCTTGAGGGTGAGTAAATGATGACAGAATTTTCATTTTTGGGTGGACTATCCCTTTAACACATACTCTATGGCGGCCAAGAAACCACAGTAGCTGCGTCTACATGGTTCAATCGGAATGAAATCAGTCCGATTGAACACTGTGTGTACATGAATGATGAATAAACTAATTGGGTTGATGTGCGCGTTTATATGTCACAAAATTCAAATCAAAATAGATTTTTTGACATGCGCACACTGCACGAATACCACTGGTCGTGCATAACTATCCTCCTCTATTGGTTCTTTATTTGTTTTAAACCACACACTTAATATTTATCTTTGTTGAGAATCACAGGGTGATTATTGATATCTGTGTGTCCAAACAAAATTCCATTTTCAATGACTTTTGATCAGAACAACTTTAAAGAAATCTTTTGGATTATATTGAAAAATATGGATTTTATGCTGTTTAATCACTTTGATTCTGTAATGACCAATTTACATTATAATCAGAGAGTAGCACTGATTGAGTTAAGTGATTTAGGTCATATAATTGTAAAACAACAATAATGTTAGAACATTTCCAATGCCATCAGATCACTTTTTCTCTTTGTTCATCTGACTGTCATAACTTATGTACGGCAACCAAATGAAATCTAAAGTTAAACATGTAAAGGTCAACTGCCCAACTAAACCAAACACTGATCTCCATAATGGTGACTAAAATTTGAATTTTCTTCCTCAGTGACTCTGCTTGTTATCATCAGGTGTCTTCAATAATGCTTAATCATGACTCAATCAATAACTTAATTAGCACATTAACTTTAACACTCTTCAGTGTTTATTTAACACTCAAATCTTAACACTTTAACACTCTTGAGTCTTTAACACTCTTGAGTTTTTGCTGTGTAGTAACATTCAGGAAACTTTTATGTTCTTGGAATCTTAGAAATCAACATTACTATCATGTTGAATTTTTAATAGAAAATTACATTTATTGAATGTTTGAGGAACATTATACCTTTTAAAACACGTTCCTCTAACGTCAAGAAAACTGTAAACACTATTTGGTCTATTATTGTCACCATTGTTGAGATTCAAAGGCTGATTATTGATGTCTGTGTTTCTAAATAAATTCATTTGAAAATATTTTGATCAGAAATTTTTTTTAAATTATTATAAGGAAATTAATGATGATCATATGCTGTAGAATCACGAAGTTATTGCTAATGAGTCTAAACTGTCTCAATAAGTTTCATTTCTCAGATCAAAGCATGATTATGCTACTACATAACCAATACTATCAGATCACACTTTTCTTTGTTCATTTGACTGTTATAAATCAATAACAGTAAACAAACAAAATTTAAATTGAAAGTATAAGGGTCAAGAATCCAACTAAAGCAAAGACTGATCACCATAACAGTGACTTACAATTTGTGATTTTCTCCTTCAGTGATTCTGCTTGTTAACATCAGGTGTCTTCAATAATGCTCGATCATCACTAAATTAATCACTTAATTATCTCATTAACTTTAACACTCTTGAACGTTAATTTAACACTCATATCTGCATCATATCTTCCATCTGAAAGCAGGTGAAGGTGATTTACTACTAATCAAGGAACCGGCTTTACTGAAGAGATGCGTATAACAATGTGATGCGATCGCCCAGCCCTATTTTAAATACAAGTTACAGTCCCTCAAAGTATTTAATTACAAATGACAAATTTCATGTATTAGAAATACGTATTTAATTACTTTTGAGTATTTTGTAATTCAAATACTGCTCATCTCTGCTCCCTTGTGAAGTTATTTATTAGTATAAAATTTGTGCTCCTATAATTTAAGTCACTTACAGTTGCATAATCTGTTGTGGAAAAATCAAACATATTTTCTTCTTGAATTAAAACTTGATTTAATATTACTGAAAATTAGTATTTCAAAAAAAGTATTTGAAATCAAAGTGCATCAGCCAATTAAAGAATACACTTTTTAAGAGCTATTTATTCTTGCTTGTAACAAAGAACTACATGCTTTTCAGGGAAGATGAAATGTAAGCATTTTAATCAATCTTTTTGTTTTAAATTAAAATTAAATGCTTTTTCCAAAAAAAAAATCTAATAAAATACTCTATTGCCCACAACTGTCTATACATAATAAAATGTGCACATTCACACAATGTACAAACTACAGTGTTTCCTTTTTAAACTGTATTAAATAAAATTTGTTTTCAGCAAGTTTGTTTTTCCATCAAAAGTCAAGTCATCTTCATTTATATAGTGAATATCTTGATTATGACAACTTGACATTAACAAAGACAAAAATGTATTGATTATGACAACTTGACATTAACAAAGATTTGAATTTCTTTGTTATGACAACTTGACATTAACCAAGAAATCACAACGTGTTCCACTTTACTTGAGGTAAGGGGAAATATTAATGACACTGTTGTTAAAGAATTTGACAGTGTAATAGCCCTTAATGGCATCTTTATAACTAGTACAATGTGTTCCACTTTACTTGAGGTAAGGGGAAATGTTAATGACACTGTTGTTAAAGAATTTGACAGTGTAATAACCCTTAGGCTGTGTGTCCACCAAAGCGTTTTTCCACGCCCCTGCCATGTTTTCAATTGTTTTCAATGGGAGCACCGCGTTTTTTAAACGCCATGAGCGTACCGAGGTGGTGAGCGTTTTTTTCACGCTGAAGCGCCGAGCGCCCGACGTTTTTACTGGTCGCTGGGAGTTGAAAAATGTTCATCACTGTCACATTTTACCCAGCCGTCCAATCACACACGCGCATTCAATCACAGGGGAGGAGGGGCGGGACTAAACCACACCGACCAACTGTCACAACATTCAAACTGTGCTGCAGATATTCTGTATCATAGCAACGAAACGTCTCAACAGAAAAAACGCTGCGCTGCCAAAACAGCTGGCTAAAAACGCTTTGGTGGACACACGGCCTTAATGACATCTTTATAACTAGTACAATGTGTTCCACTTTACTTGAGGACAAGTAAAATATTCATGTCCCAGTTATAATGGTGTCATGACAACCAAAGTTAAAACCAACCATAACATATGACAGGGTAATGTTAACACAAAGCTAAATAACTTCTTTAAGTTTGATAATTAGACCTGTAATGACATATTTGTGACAGGTTGACAGGTTATGATTTCTTGGTTAATGTCAAGTTGTCATAACAAAGACATTTTAAACAATGTCAACTTTGCATTAAAAGTGTAATAATTTACCAAATGATACTTAATGACAACAGTCATAAACATTCATAAAAACTCATTCATGTTCATGACAGGTGTTTATGACAGTGTCATGTCAGTCTTATGCACACCCCTTCAAATAAAGTGTTACCGTTTCAATTTTTTTTCTTCATATATATAGTTACTGGTTTCACTTACTTTCCCAGTGTTCTACTAGTAGATATTGTTGACGGGTGACAAAATGTTCCCCTTCTAACTTCCTAGACTTTTAAAAAACAATGAAGGGACGTAATGGTTGGGAAAAACTGATTTAGATTAACAAATCTTGTAAAAATGTTGTTATTTGTTGTCATTTACTGTCATAAACTAATGTTACCAAATTTTCCTAAAGTGTTTCCTGTAAAGTGTTATCATTAAACAATATTTACTTACCCAACAAGATCAGCAAAAACATAAGCCAGTGTAGGTGCATCATGTTCAAAAGTGAAAAGTGTCTGAGATACTTCTGCTGTCGCATGAGTCTTCACTCTTGAACATGTGCCAGTCATTTGGTCACATTTATACACAGTGATTGAGCCACACTGGAGGAGAAAGGGAGGAGGCAGAGCATCACAGTCCCGCCCACAGGAGATACCCCTCACTGCAGACTGTAGCGTGGTTTACATGTTAAACGATTAATTTCGTTGTAAAATTAACTGCATTATGTAATAATTGAGATAATATGTGACATTTGTTTCAATTTAATGTGTACAGCTTCTTTTTTATGCATTTTTGAAAATTTTGCAAATTTTTTTGGAGGAAGTGAACGGCACAAAATGAGATTTCACCCCTACAGCAATTAGTCATTCAAGATGTTACTATCCTGTGTCACAATGCCTTGTGTTTACTGCCATTGTCTTCACCTGTGTTCTTCCTCATTCCAGAGCTGTGGGTAAAAGATGTCTGTTGATAAGCTACACCACCAATGCCTTTCCTGTGGAATACATTCCCACAGGGTGAGTGTGTTTACTCAAATACACACACACACACACACACACACACATGCTGTAGCATCACAAAACATTTGCTATCAAGTTAACCCAAATCATCTAATTAAGTTTCATTATTCAGATCACAGCATGATTATGCTAAAACATAACCAACACTATCAGATCACACTTTTCTTTATTCATTTGACTGTTATAAATCAATAACAGCAGACAAACAATATTTAAAGTGAAAGTATAAGGGTCAAGATTCCAACTAAAGCAAACACTGATCATCATAAAGGTGACTTACAATTTGTGATTTTCTCCTTCAGAGATTCTGCTTGTTAACATCAGGTGTCTTCAATAATGCTCAATCATCACTAAATTAATCACTTAATTATCTCATTAACTGTAACAATCTTGAATGTTAATTTAACACTCATATCTGCATCATATCTTCCATCTGAAAGCAGGTGAAGGTGATTTACTACTAATCAAGGAACTGGCTTTACTGAAGAGTATATGCCCAGAGAAGAGTATTACGCACATATGCCCAGCCCTACAGCAAACAGATGTTTATTTTGGCTGTGAAGTGTGTGGATTTTGGAATAAACTGCTGCTTCAATGTATATGTAATGAGTGATTATTATCAAGGTTTTCTTTCTAAATATCACATGAGTGGAATGACTTATCTGTGACTTATGTGTGAAATTTTACTCAGTTATGGAAGTTACCAGTATGATTACTGAAATGTTCCTTTCATGTATTTTCTAATGTCTATATTTGATATCTGAATGCAGTAACAGTGCTTGCTCATTAAGCCCGGCTTATTAAGCCCGACCATAAGTCACAGGGGTCATTGAAGTCTATAGTTTAAGAGAACCTTTCTCAGTTAAAGCCTTACTTTCCAGAAATAACGCATTATCTTGATCAGTGGTTCTCAACTCCAGTCCTTGGCACCCACTTCTCTGCATATTGTGTATGTCTCCCTTATTTAACACACCTGATTCAGATCCTTAGCTCGTTAGTATAGACCAGGGGTCCCCAACTAAATTGGCAAGAGGTCCACTAACCAGATCAGCCCAGTAAACGAGGGTCCGGAGATGCAAAAACACCCGACAAAATAAGTTTGCTTTCATTTTATTAAATTGTAACAATGTCAACAAATTGGCAAAATCTTTGACAATAAAATCTTTATCTTGAATACTTGAATACAGTTGAATACATTCAACTGATTTTGTTGAAATTCATTTAAGTATTATTTCATTTTAGTGCAAATATTCAAATGTCAAACCTTTGAACATCAATAACAGAAACAGAAGCATAAAAATAAAGACTGAAAGTCACAATCTTTTTATATTAAGTGCAAATGATTTACCTTCATAACTACTCAAGAAAAACACATTCAGTGTTGTGAACAGCTGCTATTGCACATAAACTTGCAAACATTGCACTTCAAAAGTGCAAAAGGGAACAAATAATGCACCTCATAATGCATTATGTAAAAAATGTTGAACAATACTTCTATTAGTGCAACAAAAAATAAAGTAAACATTTTTGTAAACAAGCAAGTTTTTAAACTTAGCTCAGTGTGAGAAATTTGCATGGGCACTGGCAGCCAATCTCTTAAATCTGGGAAGGAATGGAGTCAAAGCAATTCTCAGACATCCATGCACATGGTCATTGGTCAGTTGTGAGCGGTACTTATTCTTAATGATGTTTAGCGTAGAGAAGGCTGACTCACAGCTATAGGTAGAGCCAAACATTGTTAATGTGTACACTGCCACTTTGCTAAGTACAGGAAACTTTGCCTTTGGCACAGTCTGCAGCCAAAATGTGACCGGGTCAGAGGATTCACATTGCTCTCTTAACACTACATCAGCCTGTAAATCTAATAGCTCCATTTGAAGGGCCTGTGCATTAACCCATTTGTACATATGTACTGCCTCCTTTGAGAAAGAAATAACATTCTTAACAAAAAATGGACTCCTAACAAAGAGCATCAGCTGATCTCCCAATGGAAAGCCATCAAAGCGAGCCTTAAAGTTTTCAATCAACTTTTGGATAAAGTCAGAATGAGCAGTGACATTGATCTCCTGTATCTCCTTCATTGAAGGAAAATGTGTACAGTCCTGCTCAAGATCCATTTTCAGAATGTCCAGTTTTCCTCTGAAAAGCCTGGACTGCAGCCACCAAGTCACACACAGAATTGTCTTTCCCTTGAAGCTTCAGATTGAGGTCATTTAAATGCCCTGTGATGTCAACCAGAAAGGCCAGTGTGTCCATGTTTCTTTCCTCTTCTAAAAAGTGCAAAAACACATGAGCCTTGTGATTTTTTTGTTGTGCAAGGAAATCTTTAATTTCTTTTCTTAGCTTCCAAAAGCGAGCCAGCACTTTTCCTTTACTCAACCATCTGACATTGGAGTGCAAGAGCAGGTCATTGGCAGGAGCATCTACTTCTGCTAAAAACTCCCTGAGCAGACGATGCTGGTGAGCTGATGAAGCCCTGAGAAAGTTAACTAGTTTGGTGATGGTGTTCATAACTTCTGCGTGGTGCTCTGAAAGTGTGGAGCAGAGAACAGACAAGTGGATAATGCAGTGATATGACAAGAGCTCTGGGTTGTCCTCTTTCAGTCGACTGACTGCACCTTTTTCTCTTCCCATCATAGACGGGGCCCCGTCAGTGGTGATGGAGACAACATTTTTTAGATCGATTCTCCTCTGTGTCAGCATTTCCTTAATGGCCAAATATATGTCCTCTCCCCTGGTGTGCGTTTTTAAAGCTGTGACACCTAAAATGTCCTCTACAAATGTTTTAGTCTCCTCACGATAGAATCGGACATACACCAAGAGCTGAGCGTTATCACTTACGTCAGTTGATTCATCAGCAGCTAACGCAATGCACGGGGCACTTTGGATGGCGCTGTCAAGCTGGGACTGCACATCTTCCGACAGTAGCTCAGCTCTTCTTGTTGTTGTTGTGGATGATAAAGGAATCTGACGAACCTTTTGTTTTAGCTGCTGTCCTTCTTTACCCTCGAACAACGTGTCTGCCAACGCCTCCATACATTCTTTCACCATTCCGGAGTCAGTGAAAGGCTTTTTATGTTTGCCTAAAATCCACTGTACTCGAAGTGAGCACTCGTAGGCTCGTTGCTGTGCTGTAAGGGACTGTGTTATCACCCGTGTTGCGCGCTCATACTGTCCTTTCAGTTCACAAATTTTCCTCGTCCTCGCGGCTGATCCTGGCGGGTAATTTTCATTGAAAGTTTTGTGTCTTGTCTCGAAATGCCGCTTGATGTTTCCACTTTTAACAACAGCAACAGACTCCGAACAAATAAGACACACGGGCCTCGTAGAGCTCGATGACGGCAAAATGAACGCATACGCTTCAGTCCACTCATCTCGAAAGATGCGGTTTTCTGAGTCCACTTTTCTTATTTTGGATAAAGCCATAATAATCCATTCACGAATGTCTTAGTAATGTGTTGTGTACTAGCCAAAGTTTGTGATCTCTCCGGACCCCGGCTCTTGCAGCTGCCCGCGCGCACGCCTGTTCAAAAATTACTTTCGGTAATTTTTTTTTTTTTTCAAAACTTTTAAACAAAAATGTTTAGAGGTCCGGATAAAAAGGTATCGGGGTCCGGACCTGGACCCCGGTCCACCAGTTGGGGACCCCCGGTATAGACTCTATGGGAAAGAGTATGGGAAAAGAGTAGGCGAGCGAAAAAGTACGTTCAAATCCTCAGTATTCATAAAAGTCTAGGCGAGAATTACCTGGGTGATGTACTAATTATCGCGGTACATCACCCAGGCTATTATATTTGGACGATAGTGCGTTCGAATATCCCTACTTTCCTACTACATAGTAGGCGAAAACGGTACGTGAAAGAAGCAGTACATTGGAAACATCAGTATTCATAAGAAAATAGGCGAGAAGTTCCCAGATGATCTCCTGCTTTCGCCCAGATTTTATTTTCGAATACTATTTAGGACGGATAGATGCGAATTGGGACGCAGTGAGTGCTTTCCGATGGGTACTCATGATACTCATCTATCCCAGGAGGCCACGCGAGAGGATACGATATAAAAAAGAAGAAGAAGAAGAAGAAGATATGTTATACTCAAACATGACGGAAAAGATGGACGAGAGTGTTTTCAAATGTGAGTATTACAAACCAAATCGCATGTGTTGAACTAACTTTCTGTACAGTAAACTGTTGAATTGTTGAAGGTGTAAAGACGCTATATAATATGGTCAATTTGTGATTTTGCCGCAAATCACATTTTATTGTATAGCTTACAGAGGAGCTCCATAATGACACATACGTCTTTAAACTGTATTTGCATACATTTTAAACCGTATACATCTTAAATATAATATCTAAATATCTATTTAAAATCTGGCAAGAAAATCTTCTGTAACAATTGCAGATTACTACGTGTAATTGATATAAAATAGACATATGAGTGATGTGTGTACTTTTTTTTAGGAGAATTCACTGTTCTGTTAACACTGTTTTCATTAGTTTAATGTTTAATGCATTTTACATAAAGTAACTAAAC